AATATAAAAGGAGTTTTTGCTATTTGAAAGGAAGAAGGTCAGTCTTATTGGCATGATGAGTTGTATATTAGTTAATTTCTTGTTGTGTTGTGAGTCTCCTGATTATGTGAAATTGATATTTTTCCTAGATTGTGTATTTTATAATATAATATGTGTTATGTTTATGAGATGTTAACTTAGTCCTACTCTTAGAAGTATTAAGAGAGTGGAAAGTGTTGTTCAAGGACGAATGTTTCCAAATGGGGGAGATTGTAATACATCTAAAATAACTTAGGTGAAGCTAAAGTCTAACATTTTTGTAATAAGGGTCTAAGGTCCTAAAATGGTTTATAATGTGGTAATGAGGCAGTGTCTAATGATTTAGGTGATTTGGAAGTGAAACGTCAAGGGACGATCAAGACGTTGACGACTAAGACACCTATGTGCCTTGTGTGTTTTTATGTGTTTATGTGTGTTTCATGAGATTATGAGGTCCTTGTATGAGTAAAAATAGTTTTTATAGGCAGTGATTCAAGTTTCATGAGGTTTGGAGGTCAAACGTCCAAGGACGTCCATGACGTTTGAAATATTTGCTTTGAAGAGAACTTGTGTGTCTTAGCATGTCTCGTCAAGTTTGACGTATTCGTTTTGGATGAAATTGACGTGGGAGGTCCTTAACTCGTATATGGACATATTTGAGTTGGAAACTTCTGGGAAAACATCCCCAAAGACCAACCAATGGTCCTTGAAGAAAAAACCTTCACAAGAGCCTAAGGCTGTCTAGACTAGCCCAAACGACTGAGGCAATTGACGGCCAATAGGATGGTCGACGCCCCGTCAATGGTGGGTATGGGTCAAGACTTAGCCTAAGAAGCTTAATCTCCCAAAGTCTAGACTCTGAACCAAACAACGACCAGCCAGGATGGTCCGTCGTTTGGCTGATGATTCGTAGGTGACCAGTCATAGGTTGGTGCCTGTAACTTCGCAGTTACTGTAAAATGCAAAGGTGAATTGGTAAATTCACCCAATGTCCAAGTAATTTATTGGACGGTTTATTAAGGGTATTCTTGGTATTTTAAGTGCGTTTATAAGTCCTAAATACCTGGTTGATTTCATTATTCTAAAATCAAAACCCAAAACCTCTAAAGAGCTCTCTAGAACTCCATTGAAGCTTAAAGGGAGATTGAAGTTTGGAGGTTTATTTCTCCACCAAATTCTATCAATTTTCGTGGATTAACATCAGTTAAGGTATGGTTCTTTATTCTTGAAATTTTTATCATCAAGGAGCCAATCTTTAAAGTGTTTTTCAAAGACTTCTCAAAAGACGAATTTCTTAATTGAAATCTATCCATGGGTTCTTGCATTAAAGGTTTTGAATCATTGTATATTGATTGAATTGATGTTATTTGATGAAATTAACCTAAAATCTTCATGAACCCATGCAAAACCTGAACTCTTCAAATTGGCTATATTATGGGTGTTATGATCATGTCTCAATGCTTATGAATTCTAGTGTAGTTTCCTTTGGGTTATTGAATAATGTAAAAATTGTATTAGATTGATGTATCTCTGTCTTATATTTATAAATCTATATTTAAGTGATTTAGATTCATTGAGTAATATGATTTTTGTATTGAAATGATGATCATAACCATGTGTAAGGGCCTTTTGGTATTGAATTGGATGATTTTTCTATGGATTGAAGTGGTGAGAATGGATTGGTAGTACTATGACCTAATTCTCATTATATTACGTAAATTAGGTCTTGAATTATGTTGTGATTGGTATGGTACACTTATGGTGGCAGTTCTATGTGTTTAGTTGTGAATTATATGGCCTCGTCAGCGTTACTTTATGTATTATAATGATCATGATCTTGTCGACATTTCTTGATATATTATGAGGATTTGTGTAGTTGATATATATAAAGTATGATCATGGCTATCTATTGTGATTGAGGTCAATACATGTGTTTTTTCGTTGATATTGTTAGGTGATCATGTTAGACTATGACTATATCTTTATGCCTGTAGTCTTAGGGTTGATGCATGATTCTTCATAATTGTCTATCTGAGTCTTATTATGGTTATGTTGATGATATTATATGCTTCTAGAATGTATGTTATATGTGAAGTATGTTGTATCTTATTTTGGTAGACTTGTGTCCCTTACATCATACATGTATAATGAGAATATGACTTCTTGTATTACTAAGCCAGAGCTTCTTAGTCTTGTATGTATGAATGACATGTGACCTTGAATGTTGTCAAGAAGGTCCTTAATGTGGAGCCTTCAACCTAGTTATAAGGTATGATATCCTTGAAGTCGAAAGCCCTTATGATATCCTTCTTGTGTGAATGGTGGACATAGGGATTGATTGGTTGGAACGGCATGAAATCATCCATAGGAATATCATTGAACTATCCTCTTAACCATTGTAAGTAAACCCTAAAAGACCTCTTTGGTAAAGTATAATGTGATTGGGTTATGAACTAGATATGAAACCTCTTCATGTACTCCTTTATTGATACATTATATGAGAACAAAGTCTAGCACCGAGTGAGTATGTCTAAGTGAGTTAATATATTTGAATCATTATAATGGAGATTAAAGAAAACCTTCATATACCTTAACTATGTGCCTACATGGGATGTGTCCAAGTTCTACCATTGGCAAGTAGAACACCCTCTATCGGAGTAGGTTACAACTAAGGATTAATGCTTAGCTACCATGGTCTATGTTGGTTATTTCCTATTCTCATAACATGGGATACCTATTAGTATTGGAGAAGTTCTATGAAGTTTAGGTGGTGGTATGGGACGTTATCTAGACATTGCACAATAGGTTTTGAAGATGTTAGTGAGTGAGTCCCTAGGTATTCTCCAAACCATTACTTGAATGTTCTTATATGTGATGAATGTCTCTTAATGAACTAATAAAGTAATGACTTAAGTTGGAAAGTATGATAATGAATAAGTACTTACCTAGAGGAGTTTAAGAGTTTCTTAGTTAAGGTGTGAAGGGGGCATAGGAATGGTTACTTCATGTCTTACCTAGGGAAGTCTTAAGAATGATTCTATATACGAAAAATAACTTGAATAAGTAGACGAACTCTTAACTTAGGTAATCTTAAGGATTATTTAGGTAAGCTTGAAAAGCATGTATGGGTGTTCTCTTCTTGCATTACTTAAGTAAGTCTTTTGGATAACCTTTGTAAAGAGAATGTCATATTATATATCTACATTATTATATGAAGTGAGAATGATTCTATCTTAGGTAATCTAAAGGATCTCTTAGGTGTGTGTGAAGGGATTGTATGGGAGGTCGCTTCACAACTCACTCAAGTAAATCTTAGAATCACCTTTGGTAGGAGGATCTCATGTGTATGTGTTTGGTGTATTGAAAGTGTATTTGTCTCATTAAAGGTGGTCTTAAGGATCATTTAGGTGTGCTTAGAGAGGGTGTATCGGCGTTCTCTCTTTGTCTTACTTAAGTGAGTCTTAGGATAGCCTTTAGTGAGAGGATTGCATGCTAAATGATCTCAATGTGAATTTGAGTTAGGTCACTATAACATTGGCTTAGTTTACTTTAATATTTCTTATTGTTTGATAAAATGCTTATGTGATCTCATATATGTTTTTAAGGTGTTAAATGTTGTAATGATATGATGTTTTAATCAAAAAGAGCATGTTTCTAATAAGTGTCTGTTTTCATGATTTTACGCAATAAGCATACTTAGTACAAGTGTTTGTATTGATTCCATACATTTTGTTATATCTAACGGTGTAGGTAGAAGGTGAGAAGCGTCTTGAAGGAAAGCTTGGAATCTAGTTATTGTTCAAGAAAAGTTGAAATATGTCCTAACTAAACTCGAGGGAATAATTTTTTTTAGAGTTTCTTTTAATTCAAAGTATTGTAATAGACTAAGTATTTCTATGTTCGTTTTATATGGGTCATTTCCCACGTATTCTAGAGTCTAAGATTGGAATATGTTGAGACTTTGTGTTTTCTATGATTTGAATATAAAAGATGTTTTAAGATATTTTGTGTGAAAAGTTTTAATTCCACACTACTTTTCATACATGTATGTATGAATGATGTTAAAGGGCTTGTACAAAACCTCTTAGAGGTCAAGTACGTCGTGTTACGACCCAAGAATATCCTATCTTCTAGGGTGTGCATGCGGGTCGTGACAGGCATCAATTGATATATGGGCGTCAACTAGGGCGTCGATTAGGGCTGTTTTGGCAAATTCATGTCAAATGTTTGGGTCCTCCTCAAGGACCATTAGGGAGGTCCTTGGGGAGTCATACCCAAACGTTTTGACCCTAAACATGACCATCTATATGCTAGGGTCCCTTCAACTCATTTTAGACTCCAAACGACATACTAAAATACATAAACCATGCTAAGTCACACTAGCATACACAAGACTAGTTTCTAGACATCGTAGTCGTCCTTTGACATAGGACCTCAAACCTCTTCAAAACAACAATTACAAGCTGTGACACACCTTATAACCAAGTTATTGACTCTTAAAAAACATGTGAGGCTCTATTTCATCTTATTTCATTTCGGGGTCATAACAATTTTCTACCTATCCAAGCCAATAAAATTCCTATTTGCTAAACTCACAGAAATGATACTAGTGAAAGTGTCATTCAATTGAAGACCAAAGATTATGAAATTCATTGCCGATATGTCCTAGTTATCCTCTTACTCTAATCATACATGAAAAGTTCTAATTCATTTAAAAGTTAGAGTGTCACTCACTTGAAGACCAAATATTAAGAAAATTAATGCTAACATGGACTAGTGATCCTCTTACTCTGATCGATTCTTCTCAACGAAGAAAAGATGTGAAGTTGGGTAAGAAATTTAAATCATTAAAGTGGAGAAATAGAGTAAGACTTTTGATGATCTCATGCATTTCTAATGCTCCTTGAAGAGAAATTAATCTAAAATTGGAAAGAGGGTTCATTGCCTCTAAGTGAAAAAACAAAGGGTGATGTATGCAGCGTTGCACCGTGAGTTAAATTATACTCTTAATTGGAGGAAACTCATCCATATCCAAATAAATTTAAATCATCATTTAATTTAGAGGTTTATATTTGATTTAATCTTTTTTTTCTTTATTAATCCTCGTGATTTTAGCTTTTGGAGTTAATTTGAATAGGTTTGAAGAAAAGGATCTTGATGGAAATGAATTTTGGGGGTTAAACCCCTTCAAAATATGACTTGGAGAACTTTTTAGGTACCCAAGTTCACCCAATAAAGGTTGGGCAGATTTCCCAATATGCCTTCAATTGCAGAAATCGACAGTGACAACACGTTGAAAAAAGGGCTCTGAAGTTGCAACAACGAGGAGAGGTTCGCTTAAGTGAAGTTCCCAAAAGCGACACCCTCTCTTTTAAGCAAACATCGCTTAAGTAGAGGGGCACTCACAAAAGTGAACCCCAGTTTTAAATGAAAGATCGCGAAAGTGAGCACAGATCTCTTAAGTAAAGGTAAGGATTTATAAGGACGGAATGTTGGATTTAAATAATTAGAAATAAAAAAAAAAAGTCTAACATCTTGATCTCTTCCTAATTTATCTCAAAATCTACTCTAAAACTCTTGGTTTTCATTGTGAAAGTACAATGCGATATGTTATCGCACTTTTGTTCTCTTAAAATTGTAAATTTATTCTTGAATTCTAGCACCTTTGTTTAAAGTTGGGGGGTGTTAAGTAGGAAGAAACCTTCTAAAACATGGGGGATTAAATTTGTGTTTGTGTTGAACGAATCTTGTTTTTTTTTTTTTGAATGCATGTGTGTGGGTTGAATTATTTTATTTGGGGAGTTCTTGAGTACCCAATTCATGATCAAATTTAAAAAAAATTGTTGTACACCACGTGTTAGATAAAATGCTCATAAGAACTCAAAAAAATATTTTTGATGTTTTTTTGGCAAAATGATTGAGTTTTTCAATTTCATGTTTGGTTGTTGTTGGATTTTAACTAAAAGTTGATTCTTGTACAAAAAATGTATAAAAAGATCTAATTATTCATGTTCAGGAGGCAACGTCATGAAAGTGACCTAGCTGTCGCAAAATCAAACCTAGGTATAGAGATCCCTCTTAACTTTTGTGATTTCACATAAGTGGCCTCCTGGTCCCTTTTCCGATTGTTCACTAAAGAAAATATGGTCTCACCTTTGCGAGATCAAAGACCATTTCCTGCCAATCTTCAATTTTTTAGTAGGCCTATTTTTTTTTCCTATTTTGGTTCCTAACCCTTTGACTTCTACCAATAAAATAACATTGTTTAACACATATTTCTTACACTTTAATTCTATTGAATTTTCAGATTTGTGAAGTGTCAAGAATAGCACAACAACTTCATTTTGAGAGGAAGTTGTGGTCGAATATGACCAATATCGATTTGTCTTTCTCAAAGCTCAGGAAAACTACTATTTTGACCTGATCAAGAAGAAATTGATGCTCTAGAGAGGCATAACACTTTCTTAAGTGGCCGAGATGCTTCCAAACTTTTCCCGAAAGTTGAATAATTCTGGATAGATTTGCTTTTCTCTTAAACTATGCAACACAAACGAGTAATGCGTGAGGAAAATTTTATGCCAACCTCATGGAGGCCAAGATTTCAACAAGGTTGGTAACTATTTGGGGCAAGATCGTTGACTTAAGTGTGAGGTGGTATTGTTTGGCTAAATGTGTCGTTAAGCCTATAATAATGGTCTCTCACTTTAGTATGTTATTATTCATTGTAGCACTCACTATGAAAATTTTAGCTATGTTGTATTTATATAGATATAGTAAGAAACAAGATACGAAAATAGTGAAAGCATGTAAAAAGGGAACAAAAACATGAAAAAATTGAGAGCTACAAAGCTAATCGCACATGCCACAGCGATGCAGGCGTGTTGTGTTGGAAAAATAGAGAAAATTTAGTCCATTGTGATGGTGTCTGCTTTAATGTTCTAGGCAGACTGTCTATTTACCCTTAATTTGAATTCAAATTTTAATTTTGACCTTAAACTTTCAAAGTGCACAAAGAGACATTTTAATTATTCATCTCTTAAATAAAAAACACTCGAATATTATAGCCCAAACGCTTGAAATGCGGACTCTCCAATGTGGATTAGTGAGTCACTCAATGGGTGTTAACTAATTCAAAATTATACACACAAATATTAGAATTTTTTTTAAAAAAAAAGATATTCAAATTAATACATGGTATAGGGTGAAAGACTCTTCCTTTTACCCTGTTTCTTTCTCAAAATCGTGAAATCCTAAAATCGTGAATCAAGAGAAAAATTGTTCAAGATTTGTGATAAAAGCTCCTATTTATGTATTATTATGCCCTGTTTCTAGGAGTGGAGTTTTGTCCAAGGCATTTGGGGTACGTTGCACTGGCCCAATTGTTCAAATTATAAAATTTAGCTCTATGAAAAATGATATTTTTGTTGTAAAAGTTCCTACAATATAGAAAGTCTTGAACCTAATTTGTTATGTGGAGTTTGATTTTTTTGGAGCCAAGGAGCTTGGTTATGGATTTTTGCTTAGTCATTCATGATACAAGAATTATTCTTGCATTCTTGTACATTCCAACTCCGTAGGAATGTAGGTGTTAGATGCCTTGATTAGGCAAGTAAGAACCCAAAAACTTTCATGAGTTTAACTCTTGATTAATACACCAAACCATCTAGTCAATTTAAGTGGATAACTTATCTGAGTTGATACATAATCCATAGCCCGAATCTATTCTTTCAAAAACAACTTTTTTATATAAATTCAGTTCCATACTATTGTGCAATTTCTAGCATTCAGTACATACTTTACGATTTTAGCAATAGTTATCATAAATTATCATTACTTATTACACTAAAAATAATCTTAGCAGTAATTATTTAACGATTATAATTTAATTGACACTAAATATATACTTTTTAGAGGCCGACCGTTAACGGTCTTTTTGTAAAGATTAGAAAGAAAGAAAGAAAGCATAACTAAGTTGTTCAATATTACTAATATTTTAGCACCATTTACTATATTGGATAAGATATATATGTTACAAGTGTAAGAAATATAGACAATATTTGCAGATATAATTGACTGTACATAGAAGAAGAGGGTGAAATATATATCACCTAGGATTAATGGAGGGAACAACTCCACTAACAAGGTCACTACCAGATACATCAGCTGAAACAAAAGGATACTTCATAGCTGAGGTTGAAGATGGGGTTCTGCTATCCTTTTCACTATCCGTGACCACCGAATCTCTAATTATAGAGTAAGATTCAGGCATCATCACCCGTATGTTTTCTAGTTCTCTAACCACTTCTACCATTGATGGCCGACCTTCTGTCTCTTCTTGGCAACATTTCAGAGCCAGATTTATGAATTTCTCTACACATTCCGAAGGATAAGATCCCATCTGATCATCAATCACATTGAATATCATACCAGAACGATACGCAAGGTTCACCTGTACATATATATCCATGAGATCATACAACACAGATTGAATTATGAACCAAATAACTTGATATTATTACTCAAATCTCAAATGTTTTAACACTTAAATATGCGTAGATGACAACGATAAGACAATATTTTCTAGCAAGACAGTACCTCCCTAACAATGTTCTTGCCGTGTGAAATTGGCTGCATTCCGGTGAGAAGCTCAAGGAATACAACACCAAGGCTGTAAACGTCACTCTTGTCAGTCAATTTATGAGTTAGGAAATACTCTGGGTCAAGGTATCCCTGCAGAGAACGAGCATTAGAGCCACAAGGTAGGATCACAAATATTTAGGTCAAAATATCCACTTCCTTGAACAATCAATGCTCACCGGAGTGCCCTTAACAACAGTCGATACATGAGCAGGCAGAGTCCCTTCAAGATCTGGAACTGGAGCAAGCCGTGAAAGTCCAAAGTCAGCCACCTTTGCAATAAACTTAGAGTCTAGCAATATATTGCTTGCCTTGATATCTCGATGGAATATGGGAGGATCAGCCTCCGTGTGCAAGTAGAGAATGCCCTTAGCGGAACCTAAGGCAACTTTCAATCGCATAGCAAAACTTAGAGGTTCTTTACATTTACCTGTCACACCACAAGTCAACCCATTAAATCCCATATAATATGGTCAAAGACTTGATTTCTGCTAGTGCTTTCCCCCAAAACCAACCCCCTAACATTAACCAGCAGAAAGATTGATATTCGACAATTTTCATCGGAAGGGATTTCGTTGGGGACAAAGCTAGATGATGTGGATTAGTTAATTGTTTGCATTCTTAAATATTTTCCTTATCAAAATAAAGTGCTAGAAGGAAAAGATTTTGCACAAATAAATGGAGGCAAGAGCAATGTGAATTATATAATTATTTACCAGATAGGTGGTCTCTAAGAGTACCATTTGGCATAAACTCGTAAACCAGCATCTGCAGGTAAAACACAAAATTGACAAAATGTTCTAATTTAAGAATTAAAAAGAAAGAAAGGCACTTGTGTATGTAGAAAGAAGACGAAAAAAAAGACCTATAACCGGCTAGAGGCGAAATAATCTCAGTATTCACAATATTAAAGTAGTCCAGCAATTGTTGGAAGAGAAAGAAGAAGTATTCCAATTATCTGCTAGCAAAATCATCATTTGGATCTGTGTCCCTTTGCTAATCTTTAAGCATGTGATGTGAGTGCACAAGTGTGTAGGATCCATTTTAAGGTATAAGAAGGATCATACATTCCTTTTTTCCTTCCAGCATTTACAAAAAAATAAAAAAAATCTTTTGGTATTACAAAATTTAGCATACTACTCCATTTGACTTTTGTTCATGATGATAAGACTATTGAAGTAATAAGGTACCTGTTCTCCTTCTTCACCACAATATCCAAGCAAAGACACAAGGTTTCGGTGATGTAGCCTAGATAATAGTTCAATTTCTGTAAGAAACTCCTTTTGTCCCTGTAACGATCCCTCTTGAGCTCGTTTAATGGCTACAGCTGTCCCATCAGCTAAAGTACCTTGATAAACTTTTCCATACCCTCCTTGACCAACAATGCTGGAGTTGTCAAAATTTTTGGTTGCCAGTGTCAATTCTTCAAAATTGAATTCCTTAACACCATCAATTTTGACAGAGATTTTCGACACTGCAATGCAAAGACATGGGCTTACAACTTTAATTTGAGACAATATATCTATATCATACGCACCACCTTCATGGAATCAGAGTTGAGATTGAGGTTAACATAACATGTAGGCCTAAAAGCAATGTGTTATTCAAATGTGAAGTAATTGATACGCAAGATACGATACACTAACAAGAGATGATTATGCAGTTGATCAGTAAGCTCATGAACTAGACAACTTTCTAGATGAGAGAGTATATTGTTTTCAGGGATACTTCCAAATGAAACTCTAGCTGGATTCTTACATCTAGTATTTCTTTGCAGAGATAACGCACTCATTCTCATGCTCTATGAAATTGCAGTATTTTCAAATGGAGACTATTCCATCGTTCTACATCTAATTTGATGTCATTCTATTTTCATCATTCTATATGATATTCAATTGTCTCTTTCAGTTTCATGATTGATGTATCTAGGTAAAAAGTTAATCCAAGTAGCAAAGACGTATGAGAATGCATAGTCTACAATGATTTAAAATGCTACAGTCGCAGAAAGCAACACAAACTTCAAGATTAGTAACTGTAGTATACTCACATAGGCTGCGTTTTGAACTGGCATGGTGGTGCTTCTTCATATGCAATCTCAGTATGAGAAGTGATACAAATGCCGATATTGTGACCGCACCAGCAATTACTCCTAGTATGATGCCTGCAAGAGCTCCCTTACTAATACCAGATGATGAGGGAGGGGGGATGACTGCAAAAGAACAATAAACATTATATATCACAAGGGCACAGATAGCTAGGCTTCACCCCGTTAAATGCTTAAATAATATGATATGATATGGTATCTATTCTTGTGTTTTATAATTGCACAAAGGATTGGTAAGTCACACACCAACAAAAACAAAAGTACAAGAAGAAGCAAGATATATACAAAAATATTTAATCATCAAAATAAGTTAATCACATGGTCAAGTTCTATATGTATCATGATCTTTTACTGACAAAAGGAAGAGAACAGATTAGGTCATGCTAAAGATTTCTTAAAAGTTCACTCGAGCAGAGTAGTGTCAGCTAAGAGTAAATCACAGAGAAACAAAATCAGATACATATCTGAAGAAAGTTAATCAATCAAAATGTGGAGGGATAAATTCCTCTTCAATGAGTACTCCTTGGAAGACTATGTTTAATTAAAGGAGGCATACGTACATTCTCTATAATCTGCAAGTAGGGTGAAATTGATAAGTTCATAAGGTCCAAAAAGATCATTATCAGGAATCAGCCATCCAGTGAACATGCTACGGAGTCTTAGGACCTCACTTTTATTGAACAAACGCGAGCTGTTGTTATCATCAAAGATGGGGAAAATCCTCAAATACATCTTCACCCGAGGACCAGCTTCCAATGAAAATGTGTTCAGGTGTAATTGGGATATATTCAGTTTAAGACCAATCGTGATATACCACTTAAACTGATCCATGTATGATCGAAAATCCCGAAATCCAGGACTCTTCAGCCTGTATCCTATAAGCAGCGGTAGAGCACAAAAGCAAGTAGGATATGGCAGGGCATATTCATAGGGGGGAGGACACGCCAAAGGAGGACAATCAGTGTTGTTTGCTAATTGCAAGGTACCACCAGCATCTCCATTGTAAGGTCCGCAAAAGTTGAATAGGATAGAATTCGAACATAATGGATTTCCTTGAAGACTAGAACAATAAAATGGGAATGTTAAAAGTTCAAATTGTATCTTTAAACAGAGGAATTTTGAGATGACGATTATACAAAAAACAAACCTAACAG